TTTAAGTAGAGTTAGGAGTAAAGATCAATTAAAAATTGAAATGTCTGCCAATTCGGATAACTGTGTTGACAATATAGTCTACAAATAGCTATTATAATTGTCAAAGGGTTTATTGTCTAGCTGGCTGTTCATCCAAAAATTAGGGGGTTTATTTTAAAAAAAAATATAAACTGTAAATTCTACCATCGTCGAGAGACATCTTCTACGACAATAATAAAGGCTTGGTATGTAATATCTTTAATGTACTACATATAATATGCAGTAGATATAAATGAAAAATTTTACAAACTAAAGAATTCTTTGATAACTAGGATTTCTAAATACAAGAAAATTACATACACAGAAGTATCCTTTATAACAACTTTCAATTCTAAAATGTACAGGAATAATAAATTTTATTAAGTATGGAAAAATCATATTTAATAAATTAGTAAGCTATACATATAATTCTTATGTAGCAGTAAAAAAATAATAAAATAAATTTTTAATAAAGAAAAAAAAGTTATTAGAACCTGGAAAAAAATAAAACAATATTTAGCCAAATAACGCAATTATAATGTTTAGGTCCCATTTTAAAACGGGACAGCGCAGGCCAATTTAAAATAATAAAATAAGTACATACACAAAGGCACATCATATCCCTAAATCCATAAAAAAAGAACACACATCATTTTAATTTCGTTTTTAATGAGATAGCGCAAGCTCGTCAATATATGTATATAAAAAAATTGAATCTGAACATTTTTTTATTTTTTAATTCTTCTTTTTTTAAATTTTGGAAAATTTTGTTTTAAAAGCAATAACAATGTTGTTATTTTAACTATTAACAAAAAAAACAAGAACAGAACATCCCTTATATTTTTTTGTGTTGTATTTAAAAATTCAATTTCAAAAGTGTGTTACTGTGTTTTTATAGAGGGCTAAACACAACAAATTATGAATTTTTAAACATAAACGTTAAAAATTGACACAAGATACATATTATTAAAAAGCATACATTGTGTTTAAAGTCCCACTTAATAAACGGGATAGCGTAAGCTAGTTATTTAAATAAAATATTAATAATTCCTTTTAGATAGAAGGGCAAAAATTTTAAAAATAATCTTTTGAATATTACAGTAGACCATAAAATTTTTCAAAATTTATTTGTGCAAAAAAACTTTCTTGTATGCAATAATATTATAAGCTCTTCCATTTTGTGTTTAAGATGTGGCAATTTGTCTAAGCTGTTGCCAATGTCTGCAAGAAATAGAAGTATAGGCTATAGATGCACAAAGAAAGGATGTCAAAATGCCTTTCTTTGTTTTGTTCTGCTCTAGTCTTTACAAAAGTAGCAAGAATATTGTATTGCTTAATGTGTGACTTAAATTACTTTCAGTTGTTGATATTTTTTGGAATACCTGACACTGCTATTGCAAGGTATATGTCTTTACTTTTAGTTTGTTACAAAAACTATCTTGAAAAAAGGTTTGTTGTGTTGAGAGATGTGGTATAACTAACTATTAAGGTTGATGAAAGTGTTTTGTCGCGTAAAGGGATTATTAGAAATCCTACAAGTGCTGATGATACTAAGGATACAATTTGGATATTAGGTGGAATAGACCAAAACAGACGAGAGAAATTTCTTTCTTCGTAGAGTTACTGATCGTACTATAGGATAATTAACCGTGGCTATGATGTCTAAATCAAAAATGATAGCATTCTATCTACCGACAAACACCCGTCATGTCCGTCTGTTGCAAGAATTTTAAACTTTGGGATCATATAATTAATCATACTGAAGGTTTTAGGTCAGAAGATGGTTCCCATACGAATAACATAGAAGGGTTTTGGGGCCATATGAAAGGCACTATAAGGAAAAAAATGGCGTTTTTTGTGACCATGTTGACACCTAGTTAATTCAGTATACATTTAAGCGAAGGTGTATATTTTAGGTAAGACGAAGAAGAATTTTCTGAAGTATATATCAATATTTTGAATTAAATTGTTAATAATATTTTTTTAATCCTTGTTTTATAATTCTTAAAGGTAGGCAAGTTCGTGGAAAAGACCTAAACATCCTTTAAAACATCTAGTCGTTGTTACGAATTGCTGACATTTAATTTTATTGAGCTAATTATAAACTTTATTGGTTCATGGTCTCTTGACTATCATGTGGTATTATGCCACAATTCTGGGTAGTGAAATTTGGTTTCTCATCGGTAATGCGGTCATTTGCGAGATAACTTCCATGCACACTTAAGGTTCTAAGGCTGCCCCTATTCCTGAAGTTCCAAGCGAAAAATTGGTATAATTTTTATTTGAAGAAGATTTATTGATGTTAAATCGTGATGGTCTACTACTGTTTCTTCTCTGTCGGTGTTATTCTAAATTTATTGTTTGTGTGGCCAGGTCATTAGACCGATCTGAAGCAGAAGGTGAGATTGAAAGAAATTATTTAGTAAATGTGTGGTATCCTCCATGTTTCAGATCGATACCACATTACAGCTATTGGTTTAAATGTAAACGGTTTTTGAAAATAATTATTTAAGGAACCAAAATTTCAAAACAATGAAAGAGTTCAAGAAACAAAAACCAGGAAACTTTAATAAACAAAACCAAGACCAAAAACTAACTGGCTTGGGAAAACTAAAATCAATAAACTAGTTAGAATTAACATTTTAAAAAACTATTTCTAGTATGGCTACATCAAAATGAAATAAATTTTTCTAAACTCATGATTACCTCTCTTGGGAATACTTTTCTTAAATAATTTTTTTATTTACTCTTGAGGGCCGTCAATGGAATATCTCCGGGGGATGTTCCGTGTTTTAGATTGAGCTCTATTAGTTTCTTATTCAATATTTAATTAATGTTTTTTTATTGTTTATATTCTGATTTCATTTTAAAATTTATACCCCTAAACAAAAAACATCAAATTTTGGAGGT